ACTCTGTCCTGAAGACAGGGGTGCGCATGTCATTTCGAATTGTGATTTTTCTCTGGATCGAAGCCCAGAAGTGGGGCTACTGGATCGTACGTCTTTTGCATGGTTAGTGTTCTAAGGACGCTTCATGCTGTTTCCCACAGTTCCTGCCCTGATTTAGTTCCCTAGCAAAAGTGCAGGAGGATTCCCTTTTTTCCCTCCGCCCTTTGTTAGCCGTTATTCTTGGTAGGAGCTCTCGATGATGGTCATGCTGACCGGTGTGAGGAAATACCTCATTGTCTTTGAGTAGCTTCGCTCTAATAATTAGTGATGCTGATCGACTTCTCGTGAGCGGAGTGGCACTGTGTATGCCTTCTTGAAAGGAATATGTATTTTTATCTTTGGACCATTTTTATCTCTGATTTTTTTTTGTGGTTTTGATATGGAGATGTGTGAGTTGCTTGTAGCAATCAGAGGTGAATTTCTTGTAGGTATCTTGGTTAGAAAAAAAATTTTTTTTTTCCATTCTGAGAGTCTCTTTCTCTATTGTTTTGGATGTTGTTAGTTGTGAAAATGCTTTTAAGGTCTGTGCCCACATGCTTTTTTCTTATTTTTGGTTCATTTTTCATTGTCTGTGTAGTGGATCCAAGTGAACTTCTTACGATTGTTCAAGAGGGTTGTGACGTGAAAATTGCNGCTACAGTCTACGGGGTCGCAGAGAGTCGGACGCGACTGAACCACTCAGCATGCACAAATCTGTGTGTTAATAGCCAGCTCTTGATGGATCCCTCATCACTACCTTTTTTTTTGTTTTTATAAGCGTAAGTTTCTTTTCTCTGTCCTTATGTCTGTTTCTATTGGGTAAAGCGGTTCGTTTGAATCCATTTTTAGATTCCGACAACGAGTGGTCTCCTACGATACTCACTTCGCCCGTTGCCCTTGCTCCTCTAGGTCTGATCGTCTCTGCTTCCTTCTCTCAGACTGGACATGGCATTCTCTCCTGCTCGCTCATGGCTGAGTTAATGGTTCACGGTGTCTGTGCGGCCCACCTTCTTGACCCGCTCACCTGTCCCGAGCAGTCGGGCCGTTTCCGTGTCCTGGTTATTTTCCTGGCATGGCTGTAATCTCCCGAGTGTACGTGTGTTTTGAAAACCCTGGGGTTTCTCTGGCTCTGTGCCCGAGGTCGGGGTGACGTGTCCTAAGACGCTTCTGTGTCTAGTTTTCTAAAGGACCGCAATCCTCTTCCCCCTCCTTCATGGACCGTTTCCCATTCCCAGCAGCAGTGCGGGAAGGCTCTCTCCCCTCCACACCCTGTCCAGCGTTTAATTTTGGAGATTTTGTGAGATGCCCATTCTCACAAGATGGGCAAGGTATACGGTGCTAAGATACCTCACCAGACATTTAAGTGGCCTCTCTCTAATAAGCAGTGATGCTTAGCATGTTTTCACATCCCTAATGCAATCTCTCTGCCTTCTCTGAAGACATACCCGTTCCAATCTATGTCCCCTTTATTTCTTGTTTTTTTTTTGTGTGTGTGTGTTTTTGACACGGAGCCCCCCAAGCTGTTTCTGTGTTTCAGACACAAATTCTCCGTGGGTATCTTGGTTTGCAAAGATTCTTTGCCATTCTGAGCGTCGTCTTTGCATGTCGGATTTCCCGTGCTGTGCAAATTCTTCGGCGGTTAACTAGATCCTGTTTTCTTACTTTTGGTGTAAATGTCATTACTCTGAGTGGATGGCAAGGCTGGTGCTGTCTGTATTTTCCTCCAGAAGTTCCCAGTCTTCATCCTCTGATTCAGATCTCGGTCTTTTCTGAAGTGCATCTTTGCGTATGGTCTTGGGGAAAGTTCTCATTTCGTTCTGGCTTTCATTGTCTCAGGTGCCCCGAAGCTGTCCTCCGCGGCGCCCGGCGCCTCTGTGGATTGCCTGCATCCCAGGAGGAGGGTCTCCTGCTCTTCCACCGCGTCTGCGGCATCGGCTGCGTGCAGCAGGTCTGACCACGGCCACTGAGACCTCACTGGAATTTGATTTGCCTCTCGCTTATAATTCCAAGAATCTAATGCAACCTCTATAGTTTCTTCGAAGAAGTATGCATTTCCATCTTTGGCCCCCCCTTTTTTTTCTTGGTTTGTTTTTTTTTTTGCCTTTAGGTTGCGGGGCTTTTTTTCCGGTTTTGGGGTTGATTTTTTGGCGGGCTTTTTGTTTTGAAGTTGTTTCCTCCCCCCACTAATTTTAGGGCTTTCTCTTTACTTGAGGATGTCCTGTCTGTGGAAATGCTTTTAAGGTTTAATTAGGTCCTCTTTTCATTTCCAGTCTATTTTTCATTATTCTAAGTGAGAGTCGCTCAGTCGTGTTCAACTGTTTGCGACCCCATGGACTATACACTCCACGGAATTCTTCAGGCCAGAATACTGGAGTTGGTTGCCTTTCCCTCCTCCAGGGGATCTTCCTGACCCAGGGATCGGACCAGGGTCTCCCGCATTGCAGGTGGATTCTTTGCCACCTGAGCCACAAGGGAAGCCCAAGAATCCTGGAGTGGGTAGCCTATCCCTTCTCCAGCGGATCTCCCAAAACCCAGGGATCAAACCAGGGTCTCCTGCATTGCAGGCAGATTCTTTACGAACTGAGTTACCAGGAAAGCCCTGTTATTCTAAGGGGTGGATGTCAGAATGTGTCTCGCTGGTATTTCCCCCAAGAATTTCACAGCACCTGGCCTTACATCTAGGTCTTACACTATTTGCAGATTCCTTCTGTGTGCGGTGCTGCGGAATGTTCCAATTTCCTTCTGTCTCTTTTTTGAATTGTTTGAGGAACACCCACATCCCGTCCTTACTGGTTGTCACCATTCGCATGCCCAGGGGGTAGGTGGAGAAGTCCGTTTCCTCCGCAGACTCTTCAGCACTGAATGTTTGTGGAGTGGTTGACAGGGGCCGTTCTGACCGGTGCCGAGCGATTCCCCGCTGAAGTCTGGTTTGCCTCTCGCTGATAATTTCTGGTGCTGCGTGTTCTTCATCCCAGGAAAGTGGTTCAGTGATACTACGTACAGCTGATTTCTTTCTCCTTTTACGGCTGAGTCATGTTCCACGGTGTATATGTATCACGTCTTCTTTATCTGTTCCTCTCTCGATAGAGAGCTAGGTTGCGTCCACGTCTTGAATATTGTGAGTAGTGTTGCTGTGATCATCGAGGTGCATGTATCTTTTCAAAGTATCGTTTTCTCCAGGTACATGCCTCGAAGGGACATTGCTGGGCCATCAGTTCAGTTCAGTCGTTCAGTCGTGTCCGACTCTTTGCGACCCCTTGAACCGCAGCACACCAGGCCTCCCTGTCCATCACCAACTCCCAGAGTCCACCCAAACTCATGTCCACTGAGTCGGTGATGCCATCCAGTCATCTCATCCTCTCTCATCCCCTTCTCCTCCTGACCTCAATCTTTCCCAGCATCAGGGTCTTTTCAAATTAGTCGGCTCTTCGCATCAGGTGGCCAAAATATTGAANCTCTCAGCAATCTTGATTCCAGCTTGTGCTTCTTCCAGCCCAGAATTTCTCATGATGTACTCTGCATATAAGTTAAATAAGTAGGCTGACAATATACAGCCTTGACGTACTCCTTTTCCTATTTGGAACCAGTCTGTTGTTCCCTTCCGTAAAATTTGACTGCGTTGAGATCATTTCATGCGATTTTTTTTTTTTAATGAGTGCAAGTGAAAGATACCTGTTGACATCAGCTTCCTGACCATCAGTCCGATTTTGACTTCATGTGGGCGGACCACGCCTAGGAGACTTCTAGGAGGGCAGCGGTTCTTTCCTTCCGGCGGGACCTTGGGAATATTACGTGCCCGTCAACACAGCTTTGATAGTTGCCATTACCAAACATGGCCACAGGGTGGCGTCGTTACTCCATGCGATGCTTTATCATTTTTTCCCCGTTTGTTCTTTAAGTCTCTTTATATTGGAGTAGCGTTCACGATCGGTGTTACGTTTGTTTCAGGGCTACAAGGACTTGGCTCAGTGAGACACAGACGGGTGTATATTCTTTCCTTGGTTCCTTTTCCCATATAAGGTGATTTACTGTGTGTTCACCAGACTGCCCCGCGCTCTTCAATAGGTCCGTTTCCATCATCTGTTTAACATAGGTTCATGCCTGGGAAAATCCCGTGGATAGAGCATCCTGGTGGGCAGTGGTCCACGGGCTCACAAAGACTCGGACACGACTGAAGCGCTTGAGCACGCCTGCCCGGACTCTAATTTGTTATTAGCCAATTCAATTTTCCCCTGCTTCCTACATTAAAAAATTTTTGTTTTTTTAGTAATCATAAGTTGATTTTCAAAGTTTATATCTTCCCTGGTGGCTTAGACCGTAAAGAATCTGTCTTCAACGCTCGAGATCTGTGTTTGCTCCCTGGGTGGGGAAGATCCCCTGGAGGTGGGAATGGCAACCCACTCCAGCATTCTCGCGTGCAGAATCCCATGGACAGAGGAGCCTAGCGGGCTGCAGTCCGTGGGGCTCGCAAAGACGCAGACAGGACTGAGCGACTCACGTTTTCTAAGGTTGTGAGTGTGTTTGTATTGGTAAAATTGTTGATTTGCATACATTTCTAGAACATACCTGTTGGTGGTATAATATCTGTCTTTCTCTCTCTGGCTTCCTTTCCTCAGTATGCTCATCACTCAATCAATTCATGCTGTTATCAATGGCATTAATCTGATCTTTTTCTTGGCTGAGTAGCATTCCAGTAGAAAAGTTAGGCACTCGTTTGATCTGTCCAGAATGAGCGAGGAAATCCTTTTCATTTTGGCGGGGTGGGGGGGAGGCTGTGGAAAGAGACAAGCCTGGGGCTTTGCGGGCAGCACTAGCGTGAGCTGTGGGTGGTTCGTCAGATGATGTATGACGTCAGAGGGGTCACACCGTGCTGGCCACTTTGTGACGACGTGCCAGGCGACGCTGATGGCTTCATAACTGTCTGCAGTGTGTGGGTGCTGCTCCCAGGGTGGGGCAGGAGATGCACAAAGGATTAAGGGGGGATGGTGGTCGCTGCTGAGGGTCCCGAGACCTGGGGCCTGCTCTGCACCCCGTACATCCTTCCCTGCCTGCCTACCTCGCCACTGACTCCAAAACCACAGAGCAGCCTCCGCGGAGGGTGAGGGGAGAGAGGCGGCCCCCAGGAGACCCTCACCGGCCCCCTCCCTGCCCACCCCGCAGTGTCCTGGGCTGCTCTTTACCTCTGTCGCCTCCCGAGAGCCTCCTCCCCACTCCTCCCGGGACCCAGCTCCCCCCACACTCGTCTCCACCTCCCTGAATCCCCGTCATGCCAACACTGCCCCCCCCAGCGTGTGTGGACACCCCGCCCGCCTCCCACCTTTGTTCCAGGTCCGAGGGTGAAAGGCTGCGGTTCATGCAGGGCCTGCAGGACGTGTGGAGGCTGGAGGGGGCGAGGGTGCTGGCCGCCTTCGACCTGTCCCCCTTCCGGGTCATCTGCGATCTCGGGGGTGAGTGTCCGCCCCGGACCTTGGAGCTGTGTTTGGAACTCTGCTTGTAGACCCTAGGGCTTCCCCAGTGGCTGAGATGGTAAGGAATCTGCCTGCAATGCAGGATACCTGGGTTCAATCCCTGGTGGGGAAAATCCCCTGGAGGAGAGAGCATGGCAACCCACTCCAGTCTTCTTGCCTGGAGGATCCCACGGACAGAGGAGCCTGGTGGGCTACAGTCCGTGGGGTCACAGAGAGTCAGACACGACTGACGTGACTTAGCACGCACACACACTATATTGAGTAGAATTCCTTGTGCTGTAGATTGGAAACTTCAAGTATCAGTGTGGTTTCTAGGAGCGGGACCGTGTCTGTCCCACCCTCCTCATTTCTCCCTCTCCTCTTTCCCCTTTTGGTAGCTGTCTTTGTGTCCTGCATCTGAGAGGCTATTTCAGCTTTGTGCACGAGTTCATTTGTATCACATTTTGTGTTCCACGCATGAGTGGTGTCACACGGCATTTGTCTTTCTCTGTCTGACAAACTTCTCTTACTATGATCGTCTCTAGCTCCATTCACATTGCTGCAAATGGCGTTTTGTTCTTTTTCATGGTTGTGTAATATTCCACTGTATATGCGTACCACCTCTTCTCTATCCAGCCCTCTGTCGATGGGCCTTTAGGTTGAGGTTATTTGATAAAAGCAGATTCCCTGACTGTGGGGTGTTCCTGCTGCTGGCATCTGGAGGGAGATCCCCATTTTTCACCCGGGTGTACCCCGGAAATGTTTTCCACAGGGAGACATGGGCATGTCTTCCCGTAGCATCTGCCCAGGGGCTTCATCTGCCTGGCTGTTGTCTGTCCTTGGGTGGACAGACAGCCTGGCACGAGGGGAAGCCGTCAGGTCAGAGGCTATGTGGAAGGTTGGCATGTGGGCCGGTCCAGCCGGGAAGATGCCTTAGATGCAGGGCTTTGTAGGTGAGCCTGTAACCATGGAGACCAGGCTGTGGGTACCACTTGGGTCACAGTCCATGTCCTCCTGCAGGCGGTTCTGGGGCTCTGGCCAAGGCGTGCGTGTCTCTGTACCCGGGATGTCGGGTCATCGTGTTCGACATCCCAGGAGTGGTGCAGATGGCGAGGACACATTTCTCAGCCTCGGAGGACGAGCGGATCAGCTTTCATGAAGGTGGGTGTCTGGAACACCGTCTGTGTCCATGGGGAAACAGATGGGTCATGGCCGGCTGGGGAGACGGCGACAGTGGGCTCTCAGTGTGGCTTCCTGGATCGTCCAAATGCACCCCCTTAAAATGGAGCTTCCAGGGGGCTTAGTGGTAAAGAATCTGCCTGCCAGTGCAGAAGACGCAAGAGATGCAGGTTCAATCCCTGGGTCAGGAAGACTCCCTGGAGAAAGAAATGGCAACCCATTCCAGTATTCTTGCCTGGAGAATCCACATGGACAGAGGAGCCTGGTGGGCTACAGTCCACGGGGTCGCAAAAGTCAGACACGAATGAGCACACAGGCATTTAAACCTAGAGCTGTGATGCAGGATGGATGGAAAAAGGTGGGAGGGTATTGTTTTCTTGCAGTTAATTCTTTCCTGAGTGTTGCACTGGGTTCAACGTGTCTCCTCACCCAGAGTTTGTAAACAGGACTTTAGGAAATAAGGTCTCTGCAGATGTGATGAAGTGAAGGGTCTGAGATGAGGTCCTCCTGGATGGGGCTGGCCCTAAACCCAGGGACAGGGTCCTTATAAGACACAGAAGGGGAGAGACACGGGCACAGAGGAGAAGCCGCGTGGAGACGGAGGCAGAGACGGGAGGGAGGCGGCCACCAGCCCAGGGACAGACGCCTGGAGCCCCCAGAAGCTGGAAGAGGCGGCAAGGAGCCTCCCCTGGAGACTCTGGAGGGACTCAGCCCTGGGACCCCTTGACCTCAGACATCTGGTCCCCAGGACTGTGAGGAGCATGGATGTCCTGGTCTGTGGGCATTTCTTACAGCCATCCTGGGAAACTCACGTAGGTATTTACAACCAGCTCAGGTCCGAGTGGCAATCAGGGACGTGGGTTGGAGGCAAGGTGAGGGGACAGTTACCGACGGAGAAGACAGAAACTTCTCAGATGTTCCAAGGCTCAGAAACCACGGCAACTTTGCGGACCCCTGCCAGGGACTTGTGGCTGCCTTGGAAATGTGGGGCGCGCCTCCCAGCTGCAGGCCGTCACTTAGGTACCAAGGTCCGACCTGCAGACACCTGGTACCTCCGTGTGTAGACACAACTACCCTGGTGGCCCAGTGGCTAAGACTGTGAGCTTCCAATGCAGGGAGCCCTGGTTCCACCCCTGGTCCAGGAGCTAAGATGCAGCATGCAGCAAGACCCAGTGCTAGAAAGAAAGAAAGGGGTGGGGGAGGGAAGGCTGAGAAAGGGAAAAAAGAAGAAAGAAAAAGAGAAAAAGAAAAAAGAAAGCAGGAATGACACTACAGGTCCCACTGGTTTAAGAAAAAGAGAAGAAAGAGAAGCAGGCTTTGGAAGCTGTGAAAACTAGATGGTCGTGAAAATGAAAGTGTTAGTCGCTCAGTCGTGTCTGACTCTTTGCGACTCCATGGACTGTAGCCTGCCAGGCTCCTCTGTCCGTGGGATTCTCAAGGCAAGAAGACTGGAATGGGTTGCCATGCCCTCCTCTGGGGGGTCTTCCCAAACCAGGGATCGAACCCTGGTCTCCGGCATTGGCAGGCGGATTCTTGACCATCTGAGCCACCCTAGAAAGAAATGGCAACCCATTCCAGTATTCTTGCCTGGAGAATCCACATGGACAGAGGAGCCTGGTGGGCTACAGTCCACGGAGTCGCAAAAGTCAGACACGAATGAGCACACAGGCATTTAAACCTAGAGCTGTGATGCAGGATGGATGGAAAAATGTGGGAGGGTATTGTTTTCTTGCAGTTAATTCTTTCCTGAGTGTTGCACTGGGTTCAACGTGTCTCCTCACCCAGAGTTTGTAAACAGGACTTTGGGAAATAAGGTTTCTGCAGATGTGATGAAGTGAAGGGTCTGAGATGAGGTCCTCCTGGACGGGGGTGGCCCTAAACCCAGGGACAGGGTCCTTATAAGACACAGAAGGGGAGAGACACGGGCACAGAGGAGAAGCCGCGTGGAGACGGAGGCAGAGACGGGAGGGAGGTGGCCACCAGCCCAGGGATGGACGCCTGGAGCCCCCAGAAGCTGGAAGAGGCGGCAAGGAGCCTCCCCTGGAGCCTCTGGAGGGACTCAGCCCTGGGACCCCTTGACCTCAGACGTCTGGTCCCCAGGACTGTGAGGAGCATGGATGTCCTGGTCTGTGGGCATTTCTTACAGCCATCCTGGGAAACTCACGTAGGTATTTACAACCAGCTCAGGTCCGAGTGGCAATCAGGGACGTGGGTTGGAGGCAAGGTGAGGGGACAGTTACCGACGGAGAAGACAGAAACTTCTCAGATGTTCCAAGGCTCAGAAACCACGGCAACTTTGCGGACCCCTGCCAGGGACTTGTGGCTGCCTTGGAAATGTGGGGCGCGCCTCCCAGCTGCAGGCCGTCACTTAGGTACCAAGGTCCGACCTGCAGACACCTGGTACCTCCGTGTGTAGACACAACTACCCTGGTGGCCCAGTGGCTAAGACTGTGAGCTTCCAATGCAGGGAGCCCTGGTTCCACCCCTGGTCCAGGAGCTAAGATGCAGCATGCAGCAAGACCCAGTGCTAGAAAGAAAGAAAGAGGTGGGGGAGGGAAGGCTGAGAAAGGGAATAAAGAAGAAAGGAAAAGAGAAAAAGAAAAAAGAAAGCAGGAAAGACACTACAGGTCCCACTGGTTTAAGAAAAAGAGAAGAAAGAGAAGCAGGCTTTGGAAGCTGGGAAAACTAGATGGTCGTGAAAATCAAAGTGTTAGTCGCTCAGTTGTGTCTGACTCTGTGCAACCCCATGGACTGTAGCCTGCCAGGCTCCTCTGTCCGTGGGATTCTCAAGGCAAGAAGACTGGAGTGGGTTGCCATGCCCTCCTCTGGGGGGTCTTCCCAAACCAGGGATCGAACCCTGGTCTCCGGCATTGGCAGGCGGATTCTTGACCATCTGAGCCACCCTGGAAGCCCAGGAAGGTTGGGGACCACTGCTTTAAGGATGCTATTTACAGGAGACGTTTTGAAATCAAGTGAAAATAAAACCGTCCTCCAGAGCTGATGCGGAAAGGGCCCCCAAAGGGAATGTACCATCATTCATAATTTTCTCATTGTTATGGAGACGTCTTCTGTTCTGAGCAAGGTGGGGAGGTCAGTGGCTGGGGCTACCTGGAGACAGGTCTGTGTGGACAAGTGACCTGGCCACGCTGGGCGTAGGTGTCCTCATGTGGAATTGACAGGCAGGCTGACAGGAGGTCCCCACCCCCGTGTTGCAGGGGATTTCTTCAAAGACCCCCTCCCGGAGGCGGACCTGTATATCCTGGCCAGGGTCTTACATGACTGGACGGATGCCAAGTGCTCTCACCTGCTGGAGAGACTCTATCAGGCCTGCAGGACAGGTAGGTGGTGGGGATGCTGAGTGCCGGGCCTGGGGGTCGGCTCAGGGTGGAGTTACAGGCGTCTCGATGAGATGAGGTCTTGGAAACCCCGTCACGTGGACAAAGACACGCCTCTGTGTATGAGGAGGTCGGAGTTCCGGCCGACCTCTGGAGGCTGCCTGCCTTTTGCAGACATCACCACATCACGGGTTCCCTAATATCGTCTCTTTTTCACCACTCTCTTCCGTCGCCCCCCCAGAATTGCAGTTCTTGTAGTACAGTGTCATTTTCAAATGTGAAGTCGTTCATGGATAGTTGTGTCTAGACCCCTTCTGTGGGGGATCTCTTGAAAGTGTACTGAGCAAAAGTGTATTATTTATGTTTTAATGCATAGTGACGTTACTTGATGGTGACTTGAGTTTTTTTTTGTGTGTGTGACTTTGTGTAGAGGGACGTTTGAAACTTTGGTCCTTTATATTTACTTTTACTGATTCATTTCTTTGGCTGTGCTGGGCCTTAGCCACAGCACTGAAGATCTTCCATCTTTGTCATGGGATATGGGATCTTTCGTTGTGGCTTCCAGACTCTTAGGTGTGGCAGGCAGGATCTAGTTCCCTGACCAGGCATGGAACTGGGGTCCCCTGCTTTGAGAGCACAGAGTCTTAGCCAGTGGACCACTAGGGAAGTCCCTCATTGGACCCTAATACCATCATTATTATTATTTGTTTGCCTTGTTCCAGTCCATACAAGATATCATTTGAAAGGAACAAAAAGCAAGGTTAGTACAAACAGGAAAATTGCCAAGGAATGGATATATATGTATCCATAGCCTGGAGAATCCCATGGACAGAAGAGCCTGGCAGGCTACAGTCCATGGGCTTGCACAGAGTCAGACATAACTCAAAGCAACTCAGCACACAACACCCCAGTGACTCAGCACACAGCACTCAAGTGAGTCAGCACACAGCACTCGCGACTCAGCACACAGCACTCAAGTGACTCAGCACACAGCACTCAAGTGACTCAGCACACTGCACTCGTGACTCAGCACACAGCAACGGATGGCTGATTCCCTTTGCTGTATGGTAGAAACTAACGCAATGTTGTAAAGCAGCTATACATCCAAACAACATTAATTAAAAGAAGAAAAAAAATTAAAAAGTTACCAAGCAGGGTAGTGGCTTGCCAGCAGTTTTTCTGTTTAGAATATGTGTGGCTCAGCATCTTCAAGGTCACAGAAACTATGAGCATCCCCCGGAGTTGATGCTCTGTGGGCTCTGGTTCGCTTTCTCTGTTTTCAGCTCCGTTGCTCAGTCGTGTCCGACTCTTTGCGACCCCAGGGACTGCAGCATGCCAGGCCTCCCTGTCCATCACCAACTCCAGGAGCTTGCTCGAATTCATGTCCGTCAAGTCGGTGATGCCATCCAACTATCTCATCCTCCGTCATCCCCTTCTCCTCCCGCCCTCAGTCTTTCCCAGCATCAGGGTCTTTTCCAGTGAGTCAGCTCTTTGCATCAGGTGGCCAAAGGATTGGAGCCTATGCACATATATATATATACACAAATACCTGGGAGACGCAGATTTGATCCCTGGGTCGGGAAGGTGCCCTGGAGGAGGAAATGGCAACCCACTCCAGTGTTCTTGCCTGGAGAATCCCATGGACAGAGGAGCCTGGCGGGCTACAGTCCACGGGGTTGCAGAGAGTCAGACATGACTGAGTGACTGAACATGCACATTATAACACATAAAGCATGTTACATTTGCATTTAAACTTTATGTATGACTCATTTATTTTTAAACAATAAATGAATAAATGTATGTCAAGAATATAAAATAATATTTATGTAATTTGTGTTATTTTTGGATATTCTTAAATATTATGAAAACTGTTAAAATGTAAAACTTTTAAATATTAAAATACTATATATTTACAGTAACACTATATTACATTTGTATATATAGTTACACTATGGGATGTGAAAATTGTTCAGTCATGTCCGACTCTTTGCAACCCCGTGGACTATACAGTCCGTGGAATTCTCCAGGCCAGAATACTGGAGTGGGTAGCCTTTCCCTTCTCCAGGGAAGGGAATCGCACCCAGGTCTTGAACCAGGGATCGAACCCAGGTCTCCTGCACTGCAGGCAGATTCTTTACCAGCTGAGCCACCAGGTAAGCCCAAGAATACTGGAGTGGTACCCCATCCCTTCTCCAGGGATCTTCCCAGTCCAGGAAATCAAACTCAGGTCTCCTGCATTGCAGGCAGATTCTTTACTAACTGAGCCATCAGGGACACCCACGTATGTATGGGTACATGTGTGTATGTATGTATGTGTTATGCGTGTTTGCATCTGCTTATATATGTGCATGAATATGTATTGGCACACTCAGATGTCGTGTGCGTGGTACAAACACGACCTTACAGATGGCTCTTGTCCCTGGCCAGCGCAGCTAGGAGAACGCCCCAGATCTGGAGGCAAAGCCTTTTTCCTCATATTCTCGCTGCTCGGAGGTCCCATCTCAGCCTCTCCCCACGAGCCTCCCACTGATGATCAGCCCTGCTGTGTCTGCATCGTTGCAAATTACTACCAATAATGCCCCGATCTTACTTTGATGTCTGGGGGAGGGAGTGTGGGCATTCCTAGCCACGAGATCCATTGTCCAAAAAGGACCTAAGACTCGGTGACTCTTCAAGGAAGCCAGCAAAAAATGGCTTGGGATGTGGCGTTTGGTCTGAGAATCAGGTACGGAATAAAACGGGTCACAACGTGTATAAAGTTTACTTCCATCCCTTGATTGGCACACTCACCTTTAAGCTTTCGGAGAGAATGATGTGACACATCGTTTTGTGGATTTGTTTCTGGGCAATGAAGTTAGAAAGTGAGAAAGAACAGTCATGTGTCATTTCCTGGGTCTGAATTACGAATGATGATGCATTTTGAAGTTGGATGGTTCTTTTCCCTGCCTCCCTCCCCTCTCTGCCTCCATCTTCATGTGATTTCTCCTCTGTCTCTGTCTCCTGTCCTGTTTCTCATAAGGACCCTGTCCTTGCAGGGCAAGCCTCTCCACTGTTCTTTGCTGGAGAGGCCCCTGGATGTAAGGAGCCTGGTGGGGCTACAGTCCACGGGGTTGGACAGAGTCAGACACGACTGAAGCGACTGAGCGCTCACCTGGTTATGTCCCGTGTAGCCAGAGGGGCGGACACTGTGTGTAGACACAGCCCTGCTTACTCGTGTGGACTGTCGAGCGCCTACCGGCCACGGTGGCCTCTAGTGCTCGAAGGAAAGATGGGATGATGGGTGTGTGTCCTAGGTCAGGGTCTGCCTACAGGGGGGTGTCTGAGGTCAGGGGCTGTCCCGTGGGAGGTCGTAAGTCAGGGTCTGTCCCTTGGGGGTCCTAGGTCAGGGTCTGTCCTGCAGGAGGTCCCAGGTCAGGGTCTTCCCTGCAAGGGATTCTAGGTCAGGGTCTGTCCTGAAGGAGGTCCTAGGTTAGGGTCTGCCCTGCGGGGGATTCTAGGTCAGGGTCTGTCCTGCAGGAGGTCCCAGGTCAGGGTCTGCCCTGCGGGGGATTCTAGATCAGGGTCTGTTCTGGAGGAGGTCCTAGGTTAGGGTCTGTCCTGCAGGAGGTCCCAGGTCAGGGTCTGCCCTGAGGGGAATTCTAGATCAGGGTCTGTTGTGGAGGAGGTCCTAGGTTAGAATCTGTCCTGCAGGAGGTCCTAGGTCAGGGTCTCCCTTGCAGGGGATTCTAGGTCAGGGTCTGTCCTGCAGGAGGTCCTACATCAGAGTCTATCCAGATGGGTGTGTGTCCTAGGTCAGGGTCTGTCCTGCGGGGAGGGGTCCTAGGTCAGGGTCTGTCCTGCGGGGGGTCCCAGGTCAGGGTCTGTCCCGCGGGGGAAGGTGGGAGATGCCTGGAGCTGTGTGCTAACCTGCGAGGCAGGGGTGCTGGGCAGGAAGCCGGGTGAGGAGAGGGTGGACAGTGGGTCCTGGGTCCGGGCTGACCCTCGCTCAAACCCTCACCCTCCCCGCGGCAGGTGGTGGCATCCTGGTCGTCGAGAGCCTCCTGGACGCGGACGGGCGGGGCCCCCTGACCACAGTGCTGTACTCGCTGAACATGCTGGTGCAGACGGAGGGCCGCGAGCGGACCCCGGCCCAGTACCGCGCGCTCCTGGCCCCCGCCGGCTTCCGAGACGTGCAGTGCCGGAGGGCTGGGGGCACCTACGACGCTGTCTTGGCCAGGAAGTGATCCCTGCAGTGCGTGTGACCCCCCTCACGATGCAAATCCTGCAATAAAGAGATGGTGTCGCTCACGCTTCTTTCTTGCCTTTTCTTCTTCTTTTCCCCCCTTGTTGTCTATCTGTTCTATGCTTTTCTTGTTTTCCTGCCTCCTTGAGGGATGCCAGGTTTATGCCCACGGATGGTCACTTTGCATTTCATCTTTGTTTCATTATCCTTATTTTCATTTGATGCCAATCTGTTCTATTTTGCTTCCTTTCTGTGATGGAGTGAAGTGTCGGACATGAGGTTCCTCCTGGATGGGGGTGGCCCTAAATCCAGGGAGAGGGTCCTTATAAGACACAGAAGGGGGGAGACATAGATACAAAGGAGAAGCCGGAGGCAGAGACGGGAGGGAGGTGGCCAGCAGCCCAGGGACGGACGCCTGGAGCCCCAGAAGCTGGAAGAGGCAGGGAGGACCCTCCCCTGGAGCCTCTGGACGGAGCTCAGCCCTGGGACCCCTTGACCTCAGACGTCTCATCCCCAGGACTCGGGGAGGGTGGATGTCTGTGGTTTTAAGTCATGATCCCACTTGGCATCGTTTGTTTCAGCCGACCCAGGACACTCGTACACACGGAAGTGGATGGATAGGCGCCCGTCTCAAATTTTAATTTTGAAAAGGCAGAAAAGAACTGCTGGTCTATTTTGCAGCATAGAGTCCAAGAAGTCTGTCACGAGGACGTTTATTTAATGTCTACTCTTTTAGCAACTTTCTGATATACAATAAATATACTGTCATTAACTGCCATCACCATGGTCTATGTCATCTGGAAGTCTGCGCCTCTGACCCTCTTTACCTGTTTTGTTCCATTCCCACCCCTCACCTGTGGCAACAAGCTGCCAAGCCCTCCTCCAGGGGATCTTCCTGACCCAGGGATCGAACCTGGGTCTGCTGCATTGCAGACAGATTCTTTAGCATCTGAGCCCCCAGGGAAGCCCATGACAATCTGTAGGCCCGTCCAGGTGGCTGCCAATGGCTGTATTTCACTCCCTTTTAGGGCAAGTGATATTCTATTGCGTATATTTACCATGTCTTCTGTATCCTTTCCTCTGTGGACGGACACAGGTTCTTTCCACGTCTTGCCTGTTTTGCAAATTCATTTGTGTTATCGTTTAGGTTCTACATACGAGCAGCATGTATAATACGAATATTTGTCTTTCTCTGTCTGACTCACTTCACTTTGCACAAAAGCAGCTGTTTATGTTCACGCTTTTCATGGTGACAGAGCATGTGTGGTACGTGGGATCTTCCTGGACCAGAGATCAGACCTGCGTCCCCTTTATCGGCAGGTGGATTCTCGACCGCTGGACTGCCGGGGAAGTCCTGTTAGATGCGTTTCATTAGCAGCAGCAAGGCAAAACTTCAATCGTTATTTTTGAAGGAAAATTCAATCTATTATTTATTTCAGGTTGTGCTAGATCTTTGTTGATGTGGCTTTTCTGTAGTTGCGACAAGCAAGGGGCTATTCTCTTCCTTCGGTTTTATCCACGTTCTGCTCTCCACTGGTGAGCCTCTCATCTCTGGATGCAGAGCCGCCCTACGGCACACGGGCTTCAGGAACTGCGGCGCGTGGGGTCAGTCGCTGTGACCCTCGGGCTCTGGAGCCCGGGGTCAGTAGCTGTGGTCCACGGGCTTTGTGGCTCCAACGATCTGGGGAATCTTCCTGCAGAGATCGAGCCTGGGTGTCCTGCCTTGGCAGGAGCTTCCCCACAACTGCACGGCCAGACAAGTCGAGCCAGCTGTTAATAATCGTGGTGTTTGTATTGACGGATATGCTTCCTCCCGAATTGTAGCCTCTGTGATCACACCCACGAGGGGCTCCACCCCAGGGCTGTCATTTTCCCGCGCTTCGGTCCCTTCACTCTCCACCCGAAACCGTCACGGCGTTGGTGATCGGCTGCACTTCAATACAAAATAAAAAGATTGTCTCTACAAGTGCAGGAACAAACATCATTTACCGCTTGAGGACACACTCGGCTGATGGGTTGTTGTTCATTTGTTGTTCAGTTGCTGAGTCAACCTTTACTTTCTGTGACCCCCGTGGACCGCAGCACGCCAGGCCTCCCTGTCCATCACCAACACCCGGAGGTACTCAAACTCATGTCCATCGAGTCGGTGATGCCATCCAACCACCTCATCCTCTGTCGTCCCCTCTTCCTTCCGCCTTCAATCTTTCCCAGCATCAGGGTCTTTTCCAAGGAGTTAGTCCTTCGCATCAGGTGGCCAAAGGATGGGAGTTTCAGCTTCAGCATCAGTCCTTCCAATGAATATTCAGGACTGATTTCCTTTAGGATGGACTGGTTGGATCTCCTTGCAGTCCAAGGGACTCTCAAGAGTCTCCTCCAACACCACAGTTCAAAAGCATCAATTCTTCAGCGCTCAGCTTTCTTTATAGTCGAACGCTCACATGCACACATGACCACTGGAAAAATTGTAGCTGTGACTGGACGCACCTTTGTCAGACAAGTGATGTCTCTGCTTTTTAGTACGCTGCCTGGGTTTGGGTGGTGCCAGCCGCAGCGTCTTGGCCTCGTCCGACAGAGCGCACACTAGGAAACGCTATGTGTGTGGCTGGCCGGCCAGGCGTGGCTGCTCTTGGAGGGAACAGGGCTGACTGCTGAGTCTGGCCGGGGACAGGAGCGTTCATCCCGGGTGTTGCGTCCTGGAACCCCCGAGTGCCGCCTGTGTGCGGCTGGAATTGAATGTCAAGCTGATGCAGTTACGGAAGACAGATGCCTGGAGCTTCAGGAGACCTGGGTTCGATCCCTGGGTTGGGAAGATCCCCTGGAGGAGGAAATGGCAACCCACTGCAATATTCTTGCCTGGAGAATCCCGCGGACAGAGGAGCCTGGTGGGGCTACAGTCTATGGGGTCGCAGAGAGTCAGACACAACTGAACTGACCCAGCACCCACATGTGCCTTTTCAGGCTTTTTTCCTCCCCCATTTGTAACCTTTGTAGCCTGCACCGTTGCGTTTCCTTCCCCTTTCTCCACGTCTGTTTGAACCATCCACTCTTGGCTGCTATTTTTACCTCCTGAATAAGCAGGGTTATTTATATACGGAGAAGCGGAGGAATACTATTTGAAAAAAGGAGAAGCTGTTACCTCCGACCCAGGTTTTGGGAATTTGTAAAAATCAGAAGGAAAATGAGTGAGGGGCCATACCTGCTTCAACAGAGGTTCCGTGCAGACCTGAGCTCGTGACTTCCGGGAATGTGCGTATGAGGTCGGGGCGGGTGCGCTTCTGAGACTAATTTCCGTTCTGGGTCTTTGGAGAGAGGGTGGTCTGCCCTGCATGCTGGGTTGCCATGAACAGCTCAAATTTATTGGTGGATTAGGTGGTTAAGATATGGCAATGCTGGGATGCTTTTGAATTGTGCTGCTGGAAAAGACTTTTTTCTTAGTAGATACTTTACAATATTGTGATGATTTTTGCCGTAGGTCAGCATGAAGCGCTCGTAGGTTCACATGTCCCCTTCGTTCTTTAACCCCCTTCCCGCCTCCCTCCCCACCCCGTCCCAGCACGGTGTCCCAGAGCTCAAGCCTCGAGTGCCCTGCGTCATGCATCGAGCTTGCACGGGTCATCTCTTTTGCCTATGGTAACGTACACGTTTCAATGCTATTCTCTCAAACCATCCTACCCTCGCCTTCTCCCGCTGAGTCCAAAAGTCTGTTCTTTACAACTGGGTCTGCTTAGCTGCCCTGCATATAGGGTCGTTGTTACCGTCTTTCTAAATTCCATTTATATGTGTTAATGTATAGTATTTGTCTTTCTCTTTCTGACTTACTTCACTCTGTATAACAGGCTCCAGGTTCATCCATCTCAGTAGGACCTACTTAAATGCATTCTTTTTTATGGCTGAGTAATATTCCACTGTGTATATGTACCATAGCTTCCTTATCCATTCATCTGCTGATGGGCATCTAGGTTGCTTCCATGTCCTGGCTATTATAAACAGTGCTGCGATGAACATTGGGGTGCACGTGTCTCTTTCAGATCTGGTTTCCTCGGTGTGTATGCCCAGAAGTGGGATTGCTGGGTCATATGGCAGTTTTCTTCCTAGTTTTTAAATCTCCATAGTTTTAATCTCCATACTGTTTTCTTGAAAGTCCCCTGGTCTGCAAGTTGTTCAAACCAGTCCATCCTAAAGGAAATCAGTCCTGAATATTCTTTGGAAGGACGGATGCTGAAACTGAAACTACAACACTTTGGCCACCTGATGTGAAGAGATGACTCCTTGGAAAAGACCCTGATGCTGGGAAAGATTGAGGGCGGGAGGACACGGGGACGACAGAGGGTGAGATGGTTGGATGGCATCACCAACTCGATGGACGTGAGTTTGAACAAGCTCCGGGAGTTGGTGATGGACAGGGAGGCCTGGCGTGCTGCAGTCCATGGGGTCGCAAAGAGTCAGATGCAAGTGAGCACCTGACCAGCAGCAACAATCAAGTACCTTCCCACGAGGGAAGCCCTAACAATGCTTTGAGGCCGGTGAACACGGCGCTCAGAGTTCGTCTGGGGGTTTATGGTCTGTGTTCTGCTGCTTCAAGACCCTCTCAGATTATTTTTTTACGACTTATATTTGGTGTAGAAGAGAGGTTAAAATACTCTGTGGCCCTGTAGGAGCGGACCCGTTTGCTTTTGCAGGGCAGACGGTCAGAGCGTGTGTAAATAAGCGTCCTGTTTGTCAGGACAGGTGTGTCCCTGAGATTTAATGTTGCATTTGTTGCTTCGTGCGTAAGGGGAATAACACGCGTGATTAGTTTTCTGCCCCATGAATTGGCTTCGTGGCCTTGCTTATAATGTGCTGCGCTCAGCCCTGTCCGGCTCTTTGCGGCCCCATGAACTATAGTCCACCAGGCTCCTCTGTTCGTAAGATTCTCCAGGCAAGAGTACTGGAGTGGGTTGCCATTTCCCCCTCCAGGGGATCTTCCCGACCCAGGGATCGAACCTGGGTCTCCCGTGTCTCCTCCATTGCAGGCAGATTCTTTACCTGTTGAGCCCTTGGGAAGAACTATATTATAAAAAGTTACAATAAGTTGTTATAAGTGACCACAGATCTGGTGGTTTTAAAACCACAGACATCCACCCTCCCCCAGCCCTGGAGGCCAGACGTCTGAGGTTAAGGGGTCCCAGGGCTGGGCTCCCTGCAGTCTCCAGGGGAGGGTCCTTCCCGCCTCTTCCAGCTTCTGGGGGCTCCAGGCGTCCGTCCCTGGGCTGGGGGCCGCCTCCCTCCTGTCTCCGCCTCTGTCTCCACGTGGCTTCTCCTCTGTGTCCATCTCTCCCCCCTCTGTGTCTTATAAGGACCCTGTCCCTGGGCTTAGGGTCACCCCATCCAAGAGGAACCTC